CCACGGCACGGCGTGCCCGTCCAGGAGCGACGGTGGCAGGGCGCGCTGGTTTTTGGTCCTTCAGCCCCCCGGCCTTACGTAAGGCCCGCCCCGCCCCATCACGGCTCCTGTCCAGGTTCATGAGTGCGGACGAGCGCGACCGGTCCTGGTTCGGTTCACAAAAGTCTACACTGCGTACCGGTTATGCGGGCCGGCTGGGCGGCGGTGCGGCGAGCGTCTCCGCGCGCTGCTCAAGAGCGTCGTCCTCCTCTCCTCCCCGGGGCGGTGCGGCGGGCTGGGCTGCTCGCAGATAGAGACCGCGGAGGCTCCCCGACGGCGTGCGAGTGCGAGTACAAGGATGTCAATGCCTGAAAATTTTCTGAAAAAAATCGAAACTTTACGAACAAAATTGGAGAAAAATGAACAGTTTCCAGAAAAATTGAAAAAAATAAAACTTCGCAGGGAAAAATTTCTGAGATTTAAAAAAAAATTCCTGTCAAAAATTTTCTCCAAAATTCTTCTACGGAATATTGAAATCCCTGCGCGACAGCGCGTGCAGGTGACACCGCGGTCTCTCTCTCCGTCTCTCTCTCTCGCGCCCGGCCCGCTCCTCCGGGACCGCGCTCGTGCGTCCCTCTATCGTCCCACGCAACGCACCCGGCCGGCCCGGCCAGACAACAAAACCCCGCCCGCCTCTCGCGATCAATCTTATCCCGTGTGGAAATACACGCGCGGCGGCGGCGGCGTCAAGTCGCTTTCGAACCGATATGTGGTCCGTCCCGCCCCGTCCCGTCCGGTTGGATGGCGGCACCGGCTCCAGAACCTTCTACACGTCTATGCGGAGGCCATAGGCCGGGCGGGCACGTCGGCGCCGAGGTGAGCACGCGCGTGCGATCAGGGTGGCGCCGCGGGTGGCGGAGTGACCGCGTGGGACAGCAGCTGTCCCGCTGCTGTCCGCCCCCCGAACTGTAGTGCAATCACGACCGCGTGCAATCTTAGCGGCAAAACTAATATAAATGTGACACATTTTAGCAATTTACTCAATTGTATTTTGGATAATTGCGCAGGGAATCTTGAAAGTTTGAAAACAACGTTCAATCTTGGTTAGTTAGGAATTTGAAATGTGCAATCCTTGTCGCAATCATGCAATCCGTGTTAAAAGATTGGATGAGTTGGCGACCGGTCTACCCCGGTGACCCGCCCTCGTCGGCGGGGACGAACACGGATTTTGTACGAAAAAAATCCGATTGTATGGAAAGTCGGGTCGCATGACCTCTGTCCCCCGTGTCACCGCGGGCGGAGTGTCGCGGGAGCTTCTTGACCGTCCCGACCGTGACGACTCCCCGCGGACATGACGGTGCCCGGCCCTGGAGGGGCGCTGCCAGCAGCCTGCCTTGCCCAACCTCCGCCGGCCCCACCGCGCCCTGCCCCGCCACGCCACGCCACGCCCCGCCACGCACAAACTCCTGACAAGACACAGACACTGACAGCTCGCCGGACGGGCGCGCAGGGCATCCGGAGGAATGGAAAACATTGCGACAAAATGGAGGAGGAAACAGCGTGAGGCCCCGCCCCGCCCCGCCCAGCTTCGTGCCGGATGAACCCTCCTTGTCAAGCTGCTCCGCGCCCCTTGTCTATCTCTCATGGACGTTCGCGAGAGGACGCCGACTCCGCGGTGTAAAGCAATGCCCGCCCCGGCCACGCCCCGCCACGCGCCACGCCCTCTGCCAGAGTGGAGAGGATTCATGCTGGGTGCGCTCCAGACTGGACAATGTTGCGAAGCGGCGTTCTCTGCAGGACGGCTCTGCTCTGCTGGCTGGAGCCTCGGCTGGAACTGGAGAGGGGAGAGAGACTCTCCGGGGTGCGCTCCAGACTGGACAATGCTGTCAAGCGGCGCTCTGGAGGAGCAGGAGCAGGGTGGCTGGTGTGCCTTGGCTTCAGCATGCTGGAGCTGGAGGGAGGCCTTCCCAGCTAAGGTGTAATGTAATGTAGGTCTATTACACCTTACTCCCGGGGCCGCCACTCTGGACCGCCACAAAACCCAGGAGTGCAAGGTCCCTGCTGCGCGGCTTGAATCTCATGGCACGTCTTCTTCATGGCTTTTACTGCCTGTTGTTCTTTTTTTTTGTCTGCTGATAACAATTATTCTTTTCAGTCGGTGGCCGCGGTGGTGGTGCCCTCGCGCAGCCCGGAGCAGCCGAGCCATGGCCGAGCAACCCGGCTCAATAAACCCATTTGCCTTTGCGCTGCTCCGCGCTCCGCGCTCCGCGCACCGACCGGGACCGGACGGGCCCTCCACGCTAATTAGAAGTCTTTTCAATCCCCGGTGGCGTTGGTCCGGGAGGGGGGGGGGAGGGGCGTAAACATAGGACCATATGCCGGTGTATCTCTTTTCGTCCGCTGACTCACACACACTCACTATGTACTCGACACACAACACTGGGCCCTGCCCTGCGGGACGCATATGGGCCTTGACGTTGGTGGCGCGGGCGACGCTGCTACTGCTCTGCGCTGAGCCCTGACGAGTATTATTTACTTTTCTCGGAATGCGGTCGCGAATGTGTGTGTGTGTGTGTGTGCCGAGCGCGACGAGTATTATTTACTTTTCTCGGAATGCGGTCGCGAATAGAGCAGCCGAATCCTCGCGCGGACACCACCTGCGTCGCACAGCAGCGCATTATCACTACTGTTCACACTATTATCACTACTGTTCGCGCCGGCCGGCAGAGCGATGACTCGCTCGCGTGACGGGAGCAGGAGGAAGGCGCCCTCCCTCCTCATGATGCTCGTCATGTTTGTTGTTCTCTCGCTCTCCGCGTCTCGCTCCCTCCCACGCACGAGGAGAGGCTCACCTTCACCTTGGTGCAGATTATCACGGCTGCGATGGTCGGAAGTAAAACGAGAGAGAGAGAGAAAGAGTAAACGACATGTGAGAGAGAGAAGGGGAGAGAGGGAGAGAGAAGGGAGGGGGGGGGGAGGAAGGAGCTGGGCAGGCTGGCTGGTCGACGGGCCGTGCCTGAGGTTAGGTCCCCTTTGTTGGTCGCTTTAGCGGGTCAGACGGGGGGCGTCTGCAGGCAGCCCGACCCTGGCCGTGGCCGAGCCTCGAGCGCGCACTAGGCTAGGCCCTCAGTAGGCCCCCGGGGGGGACAACAAGAAATGCACGTGGACTGCGAGCGCCTGCAGGCACGTGCCCGCAGAGCAGTAAAGAAAGAGACTTGTGGTCGCGGCCTCCTCGTCGACCATGAGGGTGTTGTTGGTGGCAGCGCGGGCGCGCCCGGGGGGCCTGCCGCCACTGCCGCCGCAGCCACGACCACCGGGGTGGGTGCGCGTCGCGGGGCGGAGCGCCTGCGAACCGGAAGGTAGGCAGACCCGCCGCGCAGCCGCGCGCTGCAGAGCGCTGGCGCTGCCTACCTACGGCGCGCGGGCCCGGGCGAGGAGTAGTGGCGCGGGCGGGGCGGGGCGGGGCGGGGCGGGGC